TCGAACATTTTATATTTTTTTATTTAGAATTTGTTGCGCGTTTATAGGAAATTGAAAACTGTTAAAACTTGTGTATTTTAAAAAAATTATGAAATAAGATGACGCGTTAAAATTGTATTATAAAATGTTTGCTGTAGTAAAAAAACTTGCGATTTAACACAATATCGTGGAATTTTTTTTACCAGGATTTTCGCGTTTCGCGGTAAAACGGAAACAAGCCAGCACAAATAATATTATAGCTATTGCCTATTGGCAAATAAGAATAGAAGCGTTGGGAGCCGCCAAAACGAAAAATTAGTTAACATTGTAGATATATATGTATAGTCAGTCAACGTGCGCGTACGTGCCGTTGTCGTCTCGAGTTTGTTGGCATCGTATATAGGATATTGTCTCGTGTGCGCGTTCTAGACAATGACAAATTGGCAATGTAACGTTAAAAAAATAATAGGAGTAGTGCGAGCGAGAAAGGCGAACAGACAGAGCAAGTCAGAGAGAGACTAGAAGACACAAAAAAACCGCACTAGTGACTAGTCCCAATTATGCTGTTGCGCATAGTCGTCGGTCAAATGCGTTACTGTATAATTGACAAAAAATGACTTAACTTCAAATAAGTAAAAATAGTAATGGTGGCCCGTGGCATTGAAAGTTGATGCTAGAAAACGGCACACTACCTTAAAAACAGTCTACCCAAAATAGTTATTATAGTTTATAAATCTAAAAACAATAACTAAGATTCAAATTCAAAAAAAATATTTTTTTATCAGGTAGAGTAATTATTATCTAGCTTAATATTTTAATATATATATTATTACAGTGCGGTCTGCGATATTTGTTTTGGGCAAGTATAAATGTTATTATCAACCAATTGATTTTAATAAAATTACTAGACATGTATTTAATATAAAAAATGTAATGTACCTAAGTGAATTATACATGTGTATTTAAAAATTCCCCAGTTGTTTGATGTTGTTATATAATTTAAGACTAAATGTTTACTGTTTCCGTTAGGTATTGTATGAAATGACTCAGATAGATAACTGCGTTGATTTTTACATCACCAGCAATCTATGAGCAATTATTACAGACTAGAAGTAGTGATAATAAATAGGAATACAAATTATTTTAAACTTAGGTGTTTGAAAATAGAACAACTGAAATTATTGATATAAAAATATTATAGTGATACACCTACTAATATATTATATCTATTATTTTGATTTACGGTAGCGAGAAAAACGAGTTTCACAGATCCTAGTCCGTTTGGATAAAAGGTCAACGACAAGACGTCGACGCAGTACATAGTAGTTTTTTAACAGCTTCAATTTTTTTTCTACTAGACTAACCATTAATTACAAACATATTTTTCTTGACATTCAGAGAATTCCTCCGGTTATAATATTTCATAAATATTATTAAAATGGTATTTATCTATCCAGTATCCATCGTCTATAAAATATATACAACAAATATCTAATACAATTATAAGTATAATAATTATATCCGAGAAATCTGAAGCCTTACTTACGGAATTATATACCTAGTTACAGATGAGAATCCTGGGAACCGATCGCAAGGACTTCGGCGCGTCAAAACGTTTACACTAGTCATGTGAAATATACTATTTTGTGATATTATTTACAGATTCGTATGGATTTCAAACGACGCCCGAAACTAGTTGAAATACAAAAACAATATTGAGTTCTAGTAGTTGTATGTATTAAGTTATTGTTTACAAACCGGTTCTCATTTCCGAATGAATTTTATTTGAATAACGAAGATAACAAATAATAGATATTATACACAATAATTGTTATGAAATAGGTACTTCAGAGAACACCGACAATTGATAATGGCTAATGAATATAACGATGTAGTCATCAGTCCATTTTTTTTTTTAATTTGTTCATCACGTTACGTCACTGGAAAGGGCGTCGCTCTTTTCCACCAAAATGACCCTCAACCAATTCCCATACCATTTATTGTATTTTTTAATTAATGATTAATTGCGTTTAGCGTGTTATTTATTTATAATGTCGAAAAATATTGAAGTGACAACGAATAATATCAGTGAGCATAGTGTGCTAATCAACAAAAATTTTAAATATACATATTTGTATACAATATTCATCTCAAAATTGTACTTGGTGAAGGTGCTACAGAAAAAAATGCTAAAATGTTTACGAAAAATAATTATAATTTCGTTAGAAGAGAAAGTTAATTATACTGCAGACCATAGTGCTGTCAATAGACTTGACATGGACAGACAAATTAATAATTTCGTCTGTAAGCGTACTCCAGCAGAAGATATTGAAGCCCAATTATGTTGGCAGTAAACGGAAACAACACCCACTGGCCACTGGAAAAGACTAGTGTAGATTCCAACGAATTTTTATCAGACCAGTTTCTTATCAGTGTGCGGAGTTTGTACTAATACGGACGGAAAATCACCGTGTGTGGGGCACTCGCTAGTTTCGCTCCGCCAAACCAAAAATATCCTAGGTTTGCAGGTTACAGTCTAGGAGGAGATCACAGGTTTAAAGTTAGTCGAGGAATAAGAATTGATAAAAAACCGGTCTGATAAAGATTCTTAAACTATACCCTAGGCTGGAAAAGTTATGTTAGGCAATACCTAATTTTATTTATAAAATAATTAATTTTTTTGGTACAAAAATAATAATAGGCAATATTTACAGAGAAGAAATGAACGAAAAAATAGTTAGCGCTCAAAATCAAACTACCTATTTTATTTCAACAAAATAATATTAATACATTACTAATTTAAATGTAACCATCTCTTGTATTGGTAATAAAACAATTTAAAATAAACAAACGAATTAAATTATGAAATGAAATTAATGAATACTTGTAAATAAAATATTATTATAAATAAACATCTGTAAAAACAGAATCGTGAAATGTTGTTGTTGTTTGATTTTCAAACAAAAGTTATTTTTTATTTAAGTATTTAAATGTAAATTTAAACAAATACCTACCGCTCGAGTCTAAGTAATAATTATTTTTTTTTTTGGAATTATTGGGTAAAACAAAATGTATGATGATGCAAATAACGGGACAGCAATGTGTTACTCGTATACTGCAAACAGCCATCAATAATTATCGTCGACAACAGTCAAATACCTACTGAAAACAGCATATTAATGAGCTAATTAAATACTTTGATACTTTGTGAACCCTAATTATCAGGTAAAGAATATCAAATATGTGCTCGTTGCATATATTATTTATTGATATGTCATCTTAATTTTCTAGAAAACTTGTTTAATTTTAGAGATCACTACCTATACAAAAATAGATGTGTTAACGTCGCTTTTTTGTCTATGTAATTTAGTACATTCGAACGAGATTGAATTGACTTGTGAAAAAAGGAAGTCATTACTTTAACGACAATTATTAACCTTTATCGTGTAACATGCAACGCGCTATATTTTATTTTATTTTTATATAAAGCGCTTGAGTGTAGGCCCTGCTCGGTCTGCTGGTCGCTCTATTATATTATTTTATGTCAGTGAAATCGGAATTTTCACAAAAGCGGTCTATCTTTATAATATTATATTACACAATGGTCGTATAGCTGCTACTACCTACACCAATTCAACGAGTTGATGGCCGGTGATTTTTCAAAACTTTTCTCTAATTAATCTTTTTAAAACAACGACCACGCCAAAACGGTGTTGCGTCTCGAGTAAATGTATATCCGGATCTTTCTTGTATTTTGATAGCGTTTCATAATTATTTAGATTTTAATAATGATGCGTTACTACAAAAATGTTGTTAAAATAAGTATCGGATACATAGGATCTGATAAGCATATTATGATAACGATATTGTTAGCAGTTAAATAAAAAAACGTTAGGCACAACCTAAGCGTTAACAAATTGATATGATACCAAATTGATGTGATCAAATAATAGTATTGTTTCGGCACTGATCAGCGCCTTCTTGCAATGTGACTTACTTGAAAAAGAGTTTTTGAAGCATAAAAGTCGGCAAGTTGACTAACCACAATCACAGCTAAGTTTCGCCCGAAAACCAAAATGTTGTCACTGTTGCAACCTTGCGTCTATGCATTTGATTTATGTTCCTCTATAATATAGTCAATAATGAATACTGTATTTTGTATATTATTATGAGATGCTTTTGATGTAGTTCTATATAGGTTTTGCATGTCCTCGGTGACAACATTACCCATTATAAACACACTGCTATTATAATTTAAGGCGCCTGTATCATTATGTTCGATAATTATTATTATATTATTAGTATTGCTTTGTAGTCGTTGAATGCGGTACACGGTTGCTGGCTTATTAATCCGTAATTTGTACGATTGTTAATTACACCGGCGGGCAGTAATGTCCTTTTTGAAAAGAGTCATTATAGCATTATTAATACCGTGTTAATTCCGCCCGGAGCCCGATTAGGCACACAATCAATAGCCATCGCAGAGACTTAAAGCAATAATAATAATAATAATAATAATAATATATTAGGTATACATACAAGTCCAGAGTCTGTCGTTTGTTTGATAGACAAGCGAATATTGTTTTGTGTACGGGGACCAAGTTTCTGACCGATAATACTATACTTCAGCTATCTGAAACCAGAGGGCTTTTTACGGATAAATACAATCGAGAAAATAGATTCGAGACACTTGTTTTCATTTAACACACCGTCCTCCGTCACGGACGTTCGTCCCGAATAATCAAAGAGGACCGACCCTGTATCCTCTCTCATCACAGATATTTATATCTTTCTCTCTCTCGCTTTCAAGAGTCCACCATTACAGTGCACCTTTGACAATGGACAGTCCTCAGTAATCCCATTATACTTTCGACGAAACTATAACGTCGTCTCGTTCCTAAAACAGGCCTTGAAATAAAGTAGGGTACATATTAATAATTAAATTTAACATTAAAAAACTAATTGACGAACACACGGATTGAGCATTATAAATTATGACTTTTTATTTAAGCTATTATTTTTTTTATATCAATTTCTTTACACATATTACATCGAATGTGCGCCTAATTATGTATAATACAAAATAAATCACATGACGACTAAACACTTAATACAAATAACAGACAAAAAAAAAGATAATAATAATAATATATAGTTAAACGAGGGTATATAAATATATTCCATTCAGCAACAGGAGTTTCGATTTAGAGACCTCATTTGTTCGTGTTTTTTTAAGTACACTCTCGGTTAATTAAAAAAATGTACAAAAAATATTTGATAACAATATAATTACACATACATGGGGCTAAATGGGTCCCTATAGACTTTACAAAATAAAGCACCTGTATGCGTTTAAAATATATTTATAAATATAAATATACATATATTTGTATTAAATATTATTTTTATTTTAGAAAGAAATTAAAATTACAGGAACTTTTTCCGTCGCTTAGAAAAGCGATTCAGGCAATATAAATAACAATGCAATAATAATAATAATAATAATAATAATAATAATATTTGAATAGTATTATCGAAATAATTACAGACAAACGAGGAAAACAATAAAAGGTCGACAAGTGTAAACCATGTCGTTGTCGGACGAATATTATACAAAGAAAGCACTAACATTTTATAAAAAATATTATCATTATTTTTACAGAATATTATAATGTCTTTGAATACATTGTAATAATGGTACCAATTTTTGAGATTATTAACTTTTTGTAAAAATACGGTTTTTTTATTATCATTTTAAATTAGCTACAAGGAAATATATTAAATACCCTCGAGGCCATTTCAGTCTTTTAAAAAAATTTCTAGCCTGTAATATTGTTGTTATTTTTTTTAACGAATAGCAAACAAACGAACAAATTATGCCGAACAATTTTGTTTTTATCGAAAAAAAATAGGCTTATAAAAATCTATATAAATTAAAACAAAACATAAATTACATAACAACAAAAATTATGTACAATATACAAAAAAAAAAATAATTAAATTCGATTTACACAAAATTGTTTATACAAATGGTAGTAGTTTGGGTATTTTTTCGTGTTTACAGGTAAGAAGAAGCTGAGGATCCGACCAGTGTCCATGACGTCCAGGGCGACTTTTCCGTGTTTCGTGCAATTCAGTGCTTCTGTAATGAAAAAAATAACAGTTTACAATTATTTCAATGGTTTTTTTTTTTTATACAAAATCACACAATGACAAATAAATGGCTGCAGAAATAATAATAATGACGACGTTTAAGTTGTTGTTGTTTTTTTATTATTATGACTGGCAGACGAAACTTGTGATTTTTATCAACTCCGCGTGCCATCGTTCGGCTAATAAAATAAACGACTCGTACGATGTATGCATAAAAGCGACGATAATATTATTATTGCGGTCATTAAGGCGACGGCGGCAATCTTCCCTCGCATAAATTTCCGTGCGCCTGTTATGGTGTACAATATGTTGTGTGTGTGTGAAAAAAAACAAGTACAAAATACTACGTCGGGGCGGTATCGCGGATGAGAACATTTTAAAATTGCGTAGACGACGGCGACGATGGTGTATTAATAATAAATTCCCGTCGGGTATTCGAGGGGGTGAAAAAATAGTTTTACTTTCGGTCGTGGCCAGGAACGGGGCGAGGGGAGTGAAAAACAGGCGGTATGAATGAGACGATTTGTATGAAAAACAACGACGGCCCGTAAAAACCTTTTCGCCTCAGAGTCTCTCATTTTATATCATTATAATATATGCGCACAGTGTAATATACTATCCCACACGAGACTACTGTAGTCTTATTTCTCGTGCGCTTAGAGACCCGTCGCGTCGGCGGTGGAAAAAAGAACCACCGAAGAGAAATACATTTAGAGTTTATGTGTAGGTATTAGTTTTTTAACGGTGCGATAAAGAAAAGGACACACACACAAAATAAACCGTAACCAGTTTTCGCCAACAACAGGCCCGATAGTTTTTTTTTTTGTTTGTGAATAAACTCACTCCGCCTCTGAAATGTTTCGAGGGTTACGAGTAGGGGGAAGTGGGCAATTGCGATTTTTTCGCGACAACCTATGGCTGCATCCCTTGTCACGGGAGAGCGGGGTCGAAGGCGTATGTTTGACTGCTGGTTTTTGTTTTTCAGATAAATAAAACGTAATTCGTTCAAAGAATTACACTAGGAGGAGATTGAGGCAACCGTCGTTGCAGCAACGGATAACGTAGCAGCCATGACCGGACATCCGGCCGGTGCACCGTTGGCATTGGCGGCGGCGGACACCATTTTGCCAGAGGTGGAAGTGAATAAAAAACATACAAATGAACAGGAAAGGTAATTATAAACAAAAAAAATAAATTCTAGTTTTTCTTTCAGTTAGACCTCATATAATGGCGGACGCGATCCCACGCGTGTTTAGGCAAATTATTTATTTTGTAAATCGTACACCCGAAAAGAAATGTTTACAGAAAAGAATACAAAAATGTTCACGCTCTCGCGGTAGACCTGATAGGCTATGATAAATACTAAGGATCGTCACGTTTGAAGATGATATTTATTGGTTCACAATAAATCAGCCTAACGTGTCTCGAATTGGCCCTTCCCCGATCGGAAATAATGTATAAAGATTACACATGTCTATGCATTACACGACTGAGATGCAAACCATTGTCTTCATTTACAAAAACAATATCGCTGGTAAGCGAGACATGATAATATAGATTAAAATCTACACAAATAATATTAATGTGATTAAGTAATATGTATGTGTATTTGTTCGTCGAGTATACCAAGGACAGCTACTGTACACTGTGGGTTACGGATACTTTTTAAAGTTCGAAATATAATAACAATGACGGTGTGACATTTTAGTCGATATAACAACAATAATAACAGGTCGACGGTAGTACACATACACATTTAACAGCTGAACGATTTTTCTATGGTGATAGTGCATCAGCTTTTGGGCGTTTGGTTCGGGCACCCATAGATAACCCGACAGCCACAAAAACATGTTTATACACATTTTTTTTTTTTTGAAACTTTAAATAATTGTAATTTATAGTTATTAGACTCGAGTAAATATGCAAAACGTATGCATAATATATGGCATTCTTTTTTATTCTTCCTCTAGTATAATATTATTAAAGCGATCGGCGCCATACACAGAATAGTGCATGTAATCGCAATAATATGATAAATATATAATGCTAGAAGATAAAAAAAAAGTATATACACTTATATACTATTTGTGTAGTGTAATAAACTTTACCGTATGTAATCTGCATGCATGTACGTATAATAACAATAATAATAAATAGAAGACACGACTATAGTCTATAATAATAATATTATATCGATGGCTGCTGATATTATGGACGTATTGTTGAACCTAGGTCTCCGAAGTGCAATTCGGTGGAATTGTTATAAAATTTTATCACACACCTCGATAGCCGATTTACGGGCTAATATTAGACGCCAAAAGAAATAGACGGAAATTTACAATAAAACATTTAGCCGGCGACGAGGTGCGAGAAACGCATATTGTTCCGGTGGCGATAAAAAAATCATTAGAGTTTGATATAATTATAATATTATTATCCATCGGTTCGTTTGAAGATTACCGCTTATTCTTACTGTTATTGCTGAACGCGCATAACACACATAACAAGTCCAGTTAGCCTCTGTTTGTTCTCATTAAGTGTATGTAATACTTTACATTATAAACGATGGTAGGACGCGACCAGCCGTTTCGTTTACTTGTGTATTATGTGTGTGTATATACATTACACGTTTTTAAAACGATAAAATATAATAGTGTGCCTAACCTTAGGTGAGTCGGTTAGTTACTCAAGCTTCACACACGGGCTACGTGGACTGCAACAAGCCATCTCTCTTCAAGTCATCTCCTCGTATAATCCGTAATTGGTGGCTCGAGGGTTTCAATGGCGATCGAACGCGTTACAGTATAGTTAACTATGCAAGCCACATACACCTATCTGCAGTATAATTTATACTAACACGAACACAGTCTATAGGTACATATATATATATATATATATATAGAAAAATAACCAACCCACCGACATCGTATACACATACACACACACACTTACAGCGGTTTTATGTTAATAATTACAATAACACAAACGAGAGCGAGTACGCCTCCTATATAATATAATACTAGGAGTGTGTGTGTGTGTATATGATACCACACTCTCGGGAATTCAAAAATATTAATCAAAATAATTAGGTTGCTTTTTCGCTTTTGGAAAATGTCTAAAACTTTAAAAAATGGCACCAATAGAACTTTGACAGTCGTCGTCACTTGCCGATGTCCCTCACATCGTTCGGTCTTTGAAATGGGTCGCACGTCACAACCGCCAAACATCGTACAAACAATATTTATTAAAAAATTTACCTAAACAGTCTAAAAAACAATGTACGGGAATATTCGTCTAGTACTTGCCAGGAATCAAGGACGACGCTCCAAATTCGAATTGTAATGTCCGATGTAAGTTGTAAACTTGATGTTTTTTAATTGATAAAAAATGCCTCGTTCCGACACAGAGTGATTTTCGAAAGTAGGGAAAGAGTGTTTTTTTTGCTGTCTGGGGCAAATATCGTAGTACTTTTGTATGTTATACCTTCACAGTTGGCCATTGTACCTCGTCGTCGGGTCCGGTCGGTTCGAGTGGCCACTCTAGTCGACTTCCCCTAGTCTGTCAGAGGATTGTTAGAAAAAAAATAGTATTTGGGAAAAAAAATAAAATCGTTAAATTTCGAGTGCCCTATACACTACAGACTACAGAGGGTCAAGCGAACGGCCATGTATAACAAATATATATTATTATTTTAGTGAATAACATCAACGTTTATCGGAATCGGACGACCGTCAAACATGTGAAAGAACAACGTAATTTTTATGGAAATTATACATGCGAAACGGTAAAAATAATATTTTAATCTGGCATACACGGGTTGTTGTGGATGTGTGCGAGTGTGTATGCGGATGCGGATGCACGGTATAACGCGGTAATTGCGAAAAAATCGTTTTCCATACAAAAACAAATTATTATAATAATAATAGTATAACATCGTATGCACGCGGTATTGTTATTATTATTATAATATATATATTTTATTATATTACTCAGCGTCCGTTCGCTTTACCTATATTGCCGTACACATCTAGGTACTTCTTCTTCTGTGTTTTTTTTTTTATTATTCATTCTCGCCGACCGCGTTTACCACCGCCATGCCATGCCTCTTGCGTTGGCTAGTGTACAGAGTATAATATGTATGATCGTCGTCATAGCCGCCGTTCCAGATTAAAATAGCTGTCGGGTTCGTTTATTTTTCTCACGAACCGTACCGGTCACGTTATTATTATTATCGTAATAATATTGCACGTCCACCACGGTATCACGGGGAAGACGACCGAAGGGGAAGGAAACGCATCCGATAATATAATTATACACAGAGATGGGCCGAACGAGAGAGAGAGAGAGAAAACGTTTATAACGTAGCCAAATGCACGCATGCTGAACCAGATCAAAAACCCACATTGTTCTATCCCGGTTTGGCACACAGACTACAACAGTGTTTGAAATCAAATTAGTCAAAAAAGAATATTATTATCATAATATTTAATATTACAAGAACGCCGAACACGGTTCTACGAATAACGATTTAGTAGTAAATGTACTAATTTTTCCAGTTAGTTTTTAAATTTAACAGTACACTTTTTGTGTAGCAGTAAATGTACACCAACATGTATATTTTATGGTAAATCAATTAAGTTTATACAAATAATTACAATAATAATATACGTTAGACCAAGACTTGGTAAAATATAAATAATTCTATGGACCGAGTGTTATAGACACAAATCGACACGTCATTCTTTAATTTTTGTACGCTTACACAATATTAATATAACATATTATTATTATACACCCTCGGACGTCCGAGTACCCAACATAACAATAATAATTTATTGGATGCGGCGGCCAAAGATAACGTACGTTTTAGTTTGTAAGTTATAGAACGCGTTATTATTATTGTAAATGTAAGTTTTCAGTTCGTTATCGTTTCAACGTGCGACCGACTCATGGAATATGTTATTCTTATTATTATTATAAACGAGCTTG